TTCGACATACAGCGCACTGAAGCTGAACTGAGGGTACCAACTTTCACGAGCGGCTTGATAACCGAGTTGTACAAGTTCTTAAAATAGCTAATGTGCGTGTAACTGACCGCAAAAAAAAAAAAGCAGTCGGCGTTTGTTTGGCCGTACTGCAAAACATCGGTGTTTTTTTGTTTTTTGTTTTGTTTTGTTTTTTTCTCTAGTATTTGATACGTACTTTAGCTGTTTAATATGTTATATTCCACCATGATCGAGCCTCTCGTAAAAGTGCAGGAGTTCGACGTCCAGCACAACTCAGTGCGCTGTATGTCGAACTAAAGTTTTGGGGTGTCGTATATGTGACAAGGGTGTAATGACTTCACCCTTTTTTCTTAGAGTGCTCGTTAAACCGCGGTCAAGATGCTCATATACATGGTACAAAAGACACGGTGTTCCCTGCAGGCATGATGACAGATTTATCTATAGGTACCCGCCTCAAGAACGTTTTCTTCGTACATATGTGTGCTTCGAGCGTGAGCAGACAGTTTTCTTATGACCAATATGGCGTCATACAATTGGAACGGATCAGGCAGTGTCTGCAAACTGTCTTTTGTATGATGTGGCTCTAAGCTATTCAGTGATAATTGTACCCTTTATGGATCTCTAACTGCGATTAGAGGGACTTGATCGTCCACCTGGCGGGAGGAAACCGAGCTGGAGTAGGTCTCCAGGAAGCCATATGATGTCACCCCGCGCCGGAAGGGAAGCTGAGGGCTGCATCCGCTCTGGCCGCCATAGGCGCGGCCACCGGATGCCGCTCTGCTCACTTTCGCGAGTAGTGTGCAGTGCTTCCGAATACCAGCGATACGAAGTAGAAATGCTGGAACCGCCGGGCAGCCGCAGAAAGTGACGTAATAAAAACGTGACTTCCGGTAACGTCGTTGATGTCGTACCAACTAGTGATGGACCGAATCTGCCAAACTTCAGATTCGACAAGGTTCGGCTTATGCCGAAATTTCAAAGGAAATTTCGGCAAAGATTTGGCAATAATGTGATTTTCATTTGATCTTTCCAGTGATGCAATGAGGTAGTTGCAACATTGAGTGACAACTACTTTAATGTACTCCTCGCCATTATAGCAATCCTGTTTCCGGCTCACAAGTAGTTTGTGCTAAAACAAAATAATATTGCTTTTTAATTAGCGTTGTTTCGCGGTTTTTATTCATCCGCGCTAAAACTATACACACAGAACTATCATGCTCGGCGTTGCACATCCGAGATTCCTGACTCTTTCCATCTTCCTAAACGTCCGTTGTGTCTTAGCATCACAAACCGGCATTTTAAAAGTTGAAACCAGACCTTGCGAATATGGGACGTGCATTTTCACGCAAAGCTGAATTTACTCGAATATAAAAATATGAATATTTACAATATTCTGTCATCATCTGTCTGTCATCTCTTTTTGTGAAGGCTCAACAGCCGTTGCATTCATTTTCTCGCACGAAACGGTGACCGGCAGAGGAAGTATAAAGCACAGTCTTACCGCTTTTTTCCATCAATACACACTTACAGGCTTGCGCTGATGAAGCGTCAAAACCGAAACTAGCGTATAGTGACTGCGTTCGCTACTACCCAACCCTGTAGTCAAACCACTTCTGCAAAAAGTCACATTAAAATTACGAGTAAGCACAAAAAAATGACATCGATACAATTACCTTGTCGAATATCACCTTACCGTATTTACTAAAGTAATAAGTAACCGCACTAATTATGAACAAAGCCCCCGCGTCTACTTTCCCACAGAACACATATACAGCCAATCATTGCGTAGCGCATATAAAACAAAGCGAATAACCAGATCGAGAACACGATTCTCCATACAAATACAATCTTCACAGATGGTATCTTCGCGCGAAGACGTTATCTCTGTTCTGTAAACAGCTCGAATCATGCTGTCGATCGCAGTGATTGGCAATTCGCATGCTCCGCGGGAAAGCGAACCCCCGGGTTTTCTGCATAAACAGTGCGGCTATTACTCGAGTAAAAAAAAACAAAAAACTATAAACTTTTTTTGCGCGATAAAAATGATATATCCAGTTTTAGGGCAACAATGTATTAATGCCGAATCTTTAGAAAGTTCGGCTAAACTTCGCTGCGCCGAATCCCAAGATTTGGCACCGAATTTTCGATTCGGCAAAGTTAGGCCCATCACTAGTACCAACAGTGACGTCACTTCAAAAATGAAGTGATGCCATTTTATGCTTACCGAATATCGGGATGCGAGGGTTTAACCTTGCAAAGTTGTTCGAATGGGCGAGCCAGCTGTGATACGACGAAGCGTGCTCCAGAGCCGTACGTCTCTGGGCCTACGAGAATGCTTCACGTAAGTGCAGCAACGCCGAGGCGGAGTTTTAAATTTGGGCTAGTTGGTCCGTGTTCACATCGAATAAATGTTTTAAAAAATCACCAACAAAGCAAGGACAAGTCGGAAGAAGTCCGCTATTTACTGCCATCTCGACCTCGTCTTAAAATTTTACTTTACCTGTTGAGACACGAGGCCTTCAAAGGGCTAGCCTGGGATCATTAACGCGCATTACGCAGTAGGAATACACGGCCGCACGGTTGTACGATGCTAGCTCACCCAGATCGAAATATGCAGGCGCGGGGATTGCACCCAGGATCCCTGAATTCTGACGCGAGTTTCTCCACGTGCTTTGAGCCATGGCCTTCTTTAATATGAAAAGTCTGTCAAATCGCGAAAGAACGTGGCCGCTATAAAAGGAAAAGGCGATCAGAGAAGATAGAGCGCGCAGGGGCTCTCTCGGGCAGCGCCCAGGAATGCCCCAGCGGTAAAATCCGGAAAGAAATAACATTCGCGTCGACCCTTCACTATTCCGCAGCTCTTCCCACGCGCCTGTGGCCAAAAGCTGCGGTGGCCTCCTTTCTTTTTCTCCGCTGCGGTTTGTTGTTGCTTCGCGGGGAAGCCACCGCGCGTACTGTTGGCGCTAGCTGAAAGGTTACCCCAAGCCGTATATTGGAGAGTTTGGCCAATCTGTAATCTCGCCGCCGTAACGCCCCCCCCCCCCCCCCCCCCCCCCAAACCCCAACCCCCGAGTGAGCCAATCAGCCCGCGACGCAGTGCAAGAGGCGTGAGCGCATGCGCGTGAACTTTCGGCTGCTCCCAGCTGAGCGGAGAGTGCCGCCATTTGCATTCATTCGCCCGGTGGAATTAATGCTTGGGATCGACATCCAAATTTTGGTTTTTTCCTTTTATTTCGCAGGCTCTGGCAAGAAAATATTATAGTGTGATCCCTAGGTGGGCTTAAAAAGCTATAGCGAATGAAGTTTCTTTACGTTTGAACGCAAGCTTTTATTCAGGCGAAAAATAAATAAGCCCGTAACAGACGACGCGTAGCCTGAACTGTACTCTGCGCCGACAGAGTGTTGCGCTTCGAAATGTCGGTCGTCTCCCCCCTGCTCCCTTCTTCCTCTCTCGCTTCTTCGGAGCTCTCCTCCCTTTCCTTAACTTTTCTCCTCTCCAGCACCTTTGCCGCCACACCCACTGGCCAGACTTTCTCTGGGTGACCTCAGAAGTGACTCTGCTCTACCATTTCGATAACCGTTCGGCGCTGCTCCTCGCCTTTTTCCGGCGACAGGGCGTCCAATGGCTCTGTCGTGTAATTGACAGGCTTTCTAGAATGAAGGAGGCTACGGTTAAACACACTCGGCCATCGACCCCCCTACATTACTTGGTGGCGTTCCTTTGGATCTCTTCGAAAGCATCGTGTTCTTCCTTCCTTGTTGTGCGTCTTCATATTGTGGCACATAAAGTGACAGGATGCAAGGTTGTTGGGCTGTCGTTTTGGTAGTCAACCACCGTTATTCTCAGTCCACTTGCAACTTGCAAACGTATATGTAGTGTGTGGGCTGGCGCGTTTTTCTGGTGAGGTAAATTGATTCGCGTGTTTTTGAGTTGCAGCTTTAGACCGAGGTTTGTATTTTCAGCGGTAACTACTGAAAAGCAGTTTTGTCGTTTGCAATGTGGTTCTTCAATCTAAATCATACTTGGAACACACTCACTTCTTCAACAATGCAGTAATTTTCTTGCTTTTTTTTTAAAGCCGCCGAAATAATAATATAGGCATTCGTCATACTAAACATCCTCGCCAATGCTTACAAATATTGTTCCATTGTCTCATCATGGGTCTGTTTCGGCCGATTTCATTAAATTATACATCTATATTGTGATGATAATTTAGTAAACTAAGCGGGAACATCGATCGAGTGATATTTCTTCGTTCTTGAAGTCAGCAAAGGCTGTCTAGTTATTACAGTATATAAGGCTCCGACGTGGACGTTTTTTTTATTCATATATGACTCGTCGTGGATGTTTTCTCAATCTCTTTGCCCTATAATAATGTTAAACTTCTTGTGTAATTTACATAGCGCCCGTGGCCACAGGTATACAGCGTAACTTTTTTTCAATTTGCAGTCAATTCTATTGCTTAGACAGGTTTTTCTTTGACAAATAAATATTTTCGTTAACGCAAAGTTTTTTTTTTAATATCTGCTGACGTTCTATTGTCCTTGTACTACTTGCCAGTGGCGACGATTGTCATGGCATCCTTGTCCTCACCTTCGCATCAAGAGCACGAGCCTAGATGGCGTCGTTTCTAGACCTATCTCTTTAGCGGACTCTTTATCGCTATAGCGATAAAGAGTCCGCTAAAGAGATAGGTATATCTCTAAATAGATAGGTATATATCTGAGTGTGATGATGTGAGTATTATTAAAATATATTTTAATAATACTCACATCATCACACTCAGATAAAATTTCCTAATCATAAAAGGTGGTGCGAGAAATTCAGGAACCTGGTCTCGCTGATTTGGAGCAGAATCATGTACAAATGAAACCGAAAAGATGCCCTGCACTGCACCATTTAATTCATGTGGGACGGTAGAACTGTGATGTGAGGTCATGTTTGAGAACATTCTAGGTAACATCCCTAATATTGGTTACAGGTCACAACGGCGGTGGACCAGTTCATCAGGGCTTTCCACAAGACTATGGAAAGCACACAGGAAATGGCCAGGGTAACTTTTTTTCTTTTTGTTTAGTTTTGCCAATAGTGTCGCGAACTTGTGAGTTTTGTGTGTCGAATTAGGTAGTTTTACGTACCAAACCAACAAAAGGCACTCGGCACGCCCCAGCAAGAGAGCTGAGGAATAATTTGGACCAGCTGGGAATCTTTTGACGTGCAACCAAAATATCGCAACCAGCCTTTTTATCAGACTGCGGGCATCTCGGCCGGGATTGCAACCCGCCACCGTACGGAGATCTTTTTTTTACCCTGAGCAACCGTTGTGGCTATTCTCGTGGGCGGTCTCGTCTATCGACTACGTTAAACTTTACGCAAGAATATGAAGAACCTTTTTTTTCCTTTTTTCATTTGCGCACGCATTCACGCAGGTCAGCATCCTGGAGTGAGGCCACATCAACCAGACTCTTTTGGTACACACAATGGGAGGCCATTGCCTGGCGACCAAGGTAGCCCAGCTCGCGTCGAATCATTTAATTTGCATCCGCTTGTTGTTATTGGCGTAGTTCTACTTGCAGTCACTGACAGCTTAAGGAACCCGTAGCTTCTTATGTTCACGCTGCATGCTTTGTGATTGGCGGTCTTATCGGCCGATGCCGCATTGACTGCGAGAACGAGATGCTCAGGGCCTGCCCCGCCCCGCGTTTCCCCAGTTGACTGCAGAGGCTACGCAGTGTCAATAGGCGAGGGCCCTCTCATGTTTGTTGCTCGCTTCCATGCAGGCCCAAACACCGGGCCACGGCATTCAGATTCTTTTGGCGGTCATAATGGAAGGCCAGGGACAGGAGACCAAGGTAATCAAATCACAACAGACCAGTTCATTTGCAGCTGCTTGTCGTTAGCGATATATATGTAGTGAAGGAAGAAGGGATAAAGTGATTGTTGAATTTATTTGCATTAAAGTTAAGGAAAGGGAAATAGAGCTGGGGAAAAATTGGGCCAGGAGCGGGGTTCGAGCCCGCAAACTTCGCCTATCCGGGGCAGCGCCTTTTAACTGACGAGACCATCCCGGCCACTAGTTTCGGCGGACTCAATTATTGACTAGCTCTTTGTGTACTGTTAGTTTTGCTTTGCTTCACTGAATAGGCGCCAGCCACTTCCTGCATTAAGGCCTGTGCTAGTTCCGAGTTGCGGCAGTGACGTAACACGTCATTTCAGCTCGGAAATGTCGAGAAGGGCCCGTCTTTCAAGGTAGTTTAGGGAACCACTCCTCCCCATGGGGTCAGACTACCAATTATATACAAAAGTTATAAGTGGTCTTCTGAAACTCTCAATTGAAAAAAATGGAGCCCGTTTTCAGTAGTTTGCTTGACTCAGCCCCACGTATTCGTAAGCTTTGTTCGAAACCATTTTACCATTGAAAAGTTTCGAAAACCGCTTATTACTTTTAAATAGGACAACGGTTCGTTCTGAAACTTTTCCATCTGGTTCAGACCGCTAGTGCTACAATTGGGCGAAAGCTGAACGCTCCATAAAACGTAATTTATGTTTGCAAAAAACAAAAACAAAAAAAAAGTTGTAAATGTTTTTTTTTTTTTTTTTTTTTCTTAAAGGGGGGGGGGGGAGGGACATTTTAATTAGAGTGTGTTTATACCGCCGATAGGGTAACAAGGGTGCTCGAACTGTATCCTACACGTTTGTTCACGTTTCAACGCAGGCCATAGCAGTGGAGTCGAACCCCACAATCAAGGCTCTCCTGGTGGTCATGGAAGGCCAACGAGAGGAGGCCAAGGTAATCGTACTGCTGTTTTAAAGTGCTAGCTTTATATGAGAACCTTTGGTTGATCGTGTTGGTGTTGGTCGCGCCGTAGGAAGGGCATGGAAAAACGTATTAGCAACCGAAAGTAGCTTTTAGTTTGACGTCATAGCGGGCGCTACCAATTGCGTGGCACCGCTCAAAATGGGTGAGAGGGAGCCGTGCACAAACACTTTCCTCTCCTCTCTGCTGCGTAGAGATGGGGGCTGCGTAAAAGGGTAGAAACGGCATATTAGTAGATGAATATTCTAGTGGGAGCGGAGGCTTTTCAAAGTGCTTCTCGTGAAAACCTCCGTCGGAAGTGCTATTCCACCTTTGTGGCATTTGGCGGAATGTCTTAGCCAGGCGATTTTTTACCCCAACGTGTTTGGGATTGAGACCTTTATCAAGCTAGGAAAAAAACAAGATTTTCCCATGATTCAATCCAGGTCAAGGTGCCGGGTCCCCACCACAGCATCAAGGTTCACAAGGAAGTCACACAATGCCAAATCCCACGGATCAAGGTAAGCTCTCCTGACCGACGTCTGGAGAGGTGATATCGCGATAGCTGAGTGAAAGCGAAAAGGATTACCCCATTATATGCCCTTTCCTAAGTACGCGCCATATATAGCAGCTGCTTCGCTAATACTGCGAGTTCGCCATTGTTTGGTCACACTTCTTTCTAGCTGTGAACTCGACTCAGTTTATATCGAGAGGAAGTGCTGCGTCAGGATTCGACGAGAACTCGGTTCCGATCCCACGGCTCATGACCAAGAAATGGCAGCCTCCAAAGTCTCGCTTGATAGGGCTTTTAAAAAAAATGGTATTTTGCATGGACGACGTAACGGTATGCATATGGGTATACATATATAGGTCCATCTGGTAAATGGCGATTCGACTCGTGTCACGGGTGCGCAAATGGGCCCTTTGCTAACAAAAGCCTTTCGCCTGATTCGCCTGATTAAACTATGCTCGTCGTATTATCGTTATTCAATCCCAACCCCTGCCCCTTTCGATCTGAATGAATGTTGTACCGGTGTGCGGTCGTGTGGTCTGTGCAATGCACGTTAAAAGACGCTAGGCTAGCAGTCGTTCTGCACTGGCTAAATTTATCACCTTCGGCGTAGACACCAGACGCCCACTGGGGCTGACTAACGGTGTCTGAAGCTGAACAAACACACAAGTCACACTGCTCGTCGTGCATCATACAAAAGACAGTTTGCCAACACGGGTCACAGCAATATCCGTGGTTTGAATGCGGTGCGCCAAGTTTCTCATTGAACTCATTGCCATGCAGCGTTCGAAGCACGGATTTCGCGGTGACTCGATCGCGTTTGGATCCGTTAGCCGACTGTCTTTTGCATTGTGTAAGAGCAGTGTGACTTCGGCTTTAAAAACGACATCGCATGCCTTTATGAACTGGACTAAATTTTTCTCTGCGACGCCGTGGCATCTCCTGACCCAAAACAATTATACAAAAAATACTAATACATACTAATGCGTAAAACAGAAACAGTACTAAACGTACTTATACAAAGGCCATCCTGCTTGCGATTTTCAACCGCAAAATCGCTCGTGAGGCAAAAAAAAAAAAGCGTGGACGGAAGCGACGGTGTTGGGCGCCGCAATCGACAACTGCAAGCAGAATCGCACTGAGTGAATCGGGTGTCACGTTCAATAGAGCTCGGTACCTTTCATTGGCAGCTACCGGTAGTGTCAGACCCTTGATATGTGAAAGTAGATATCCTAGACATGGTTGTGTCTTATTATCTAAAATAAAACAATAATATCACTTGTCCTAATCAAATTTAAACTTAAGCGTTCGCGCAAACGTGGCAAAAAGCTATGTAAACGAACTCTGACTTACTAACCCCTAACTAAGGTGACAACGATGCCACAGGTACCATTAAGCACTAATCCCTATGAGCCAAGGACACTGCATCACTACGGGCGTAACTCAAGCCTCGCTGACATCTCCCCAACACCCGACGATGTCTTTGTGTGCTTACGCGAGAGACACCAGAAAATAAAAAAAGAAAGGGGACGAGCCAAGTTGTAAATTTAGTTCGTTATTATCCAAGACAGCATTTTAAATGTAAATAAATATTTGTAGTCACTGACAGCTTTATTAAGAAATGCGGGGCGTGGAATACTACGTTTACGCTTGATGTTTCGTGATTCGTTGTTCGGCATTGTTATGGGCTACTCTCGCACTCTTGTTGTCTCAGGGCGCCATTTCTCTTAAAATATGTCGACCGATTAGTTTCGTGTGGTCAGTTGGTGACGCTAAAGCGTAGAACGATTGGTAACGAACTGAATTGGTCGTCACGTGATGACATGCGTGCGAGCCGTCTCCGTGTGCTGTGCAAGCTCCTCTGCGACTTGCTCACTTTATTTTCCTGCTTGCCCGCTGTACCGCCCTGCAAAGCGTTTCTGGCCAATTTTTTTTTATTAGTTTGCATCGCGTTCGGTTGAACTAGTGTGTGGGACTCGCAACGCATTAAAATGTAATAAAGGCCTGTTCACACATGCAGCAAAGCGCTATACGTATAGTGATGACCTCGAGCTAAGCGCGTGCTGACGGAAGCGTTTACCAGCACCAGCTATTTATCCCACCGTCAAACCTGTTGCTCATGGCAGATGATAAGTAGCTGACAACACATGAGCAGCACTACATCAGCGCTTCGCTGCATGTGTGAACTAGGGTGCCTCAATGTCCTTCTGTTTAGGGTGATGCCACCGTTTGTAGTACCCGATGCCGACAGCTCGCGCTCACGGGGAAAATACAAAGAAATCGACGAAAACAAAATGTCGCCATAGCACAGTCAGCGCCACAAACGCGTGCAGGGACACGCTCTTTCACGCGCTTCTGAACAAAAAATAAAAATAAAAGTGTGGGACAAAGTGGCGAGATGTCTCCACCCTAAGCAAAGCACACATGAAGGCACCCTAGTGTGAACCGGCCTTAACTGAGAACATTTATGTATTTTGAACATAATAGGCGAAAAAAGTTCGGAATTTTGAGCACATTTTGTATTGTTAATGACGTAAACGACAAAAGCATGCAACAACCATGCGCGCTCTTCCTAATCGTTGGAATTAACATCCAGTTATGAATGTGTGAACACCTTACCGATTTTCGGGTGTTCCAAGCAAAAATTTGAGTAAGAATCACGCGCTTAAAGGATCAGAAGTCACGTGCACCTATTCAGCCAGTCATAGCTCTAGTATCATATGCCGTCATTATCCGACACTCTAGACCAATGTGGTCACTGAACGCTCGTGTTTGACAATGGTAGGCACGCCCTTTGAAACAGCATTTGGTTTTCTTCGTCCCTTCGCAATGCCCCTTTAAGCTGAGACTGCAGCCAAATCAAACGTGTGCCTATCTAAAATACTCTAGTCACATACTGTATTTCAAATACTTTTTGAAACATTTTGGTGTCTGGAAAATACATTTAGTCTAGAGTATTTCCTATTCTATTTTAATTACATTTCTCGCTATCTGGTACTCAGTGTCTCAGATACATTTTGCAACTTTGGAAAAAAAAAAAATCGCCGGAACAGTCTACAGAACTAGGGATCGTCAGCCTCCAGGGTTATTATGAACCGATTGCAAACTTGGAGCCAAGCGACTCTAAACAGGTAACAAGGCACGACCAAAACGCAGTCTCCAAATGCTAACAAAAGACCCTATGGATAGCCCCAAGTACGCCTGCCTTTATTTGTTCTCTTGTCCTCTTGTGCATTCTTCTTTTTTTGATTCAAGTTTGAAAGTCACGTCACTCGTTGCAAGATGCTGGTGGCGTCAATCGGATTTTACACTCAGACCCCAACTTTTGTCTGGAGCTACAGTAGTTTCTTCAGCGAAGGATTGTGACGGTTGACAAAGTAGAAAACGCGTGCTAAGCTCTAGGCATTGTTTGAAGTTCGACTATTGTCATCACCGCAGTGACTGGGCAGGAGCCACTACCCGAGTGCCCTCCGAGGCATTGATTGCCACGAGTCGAAGTCGAGTGCTCACGCAGTTCTCGTGTTCAATCCACGATCCGCGCTGGAGTGTCGTCAAGCGGATTGTTTTGATCCCACAATTACATCATCAAGCTTTGCGAAGGAAAGAGTGAAAGAAATAGTCCTCTTTTATTCTCCCAATTCACAGCGACAAAGAAGCTTCTAAATCAGTGGCGGTTTGTGCGAGTATACTTGGGCCAGACTAGGGCCAGAACCCCTCTGCAAAGCCATAAACATTCTAACCCGATATCGTTTCATAACCATTTTAGGCATTCACTTGAGCCGCTAGATGACACTGAATTTCGGAAGGCGCTGTGTGAAGAGGCGCGCATCCTTCAACAGCAGCAGTGCCTCCCTATTCTAGAACGATGCTGATTTGAAACAATAGTATCATAGAGCGCTTTTTCTAAATGCTATCGCTTTTAAAAGCGCTCCGTGACCACTTCAATTTCAGTATACTTCGTCTAACCTTAGCATGGACGTTCGCCTCGCGTGCTAAAAGCGCAAGCTAGTTGCTTCGGAGCCCCGGCGGCTGTACAAGCGCTCGCGCAGCGAGTGCTCCAGTCAAGGCAGTCAGGCTAGCCGCTCGCGCTTGCACTTCTCAGTTAGTCCATGCTAAGATGTTTACCCACCAAAAAGCGCCCAGGTGGTTTTAAACCCCTAGCGGCGCGCTTTACTACCTCGTTATCGCGCGTTTCCTGCGCGTCTTTGACCGGCGTTCCCCTTCTTGCGTTCCCATGGGCCAAAGACGCAATGTGGAACACTTGGCTCTCTGTATACTTTCGGCTCCGGCGCTCAGGAGTGTGTACGTAGTGGTCTAACTTGCACGCTTGAGCACCCCACTTTCCGGCGATGAGGAGCGACTCACTCGGGACAGAAGCATGTGGTGGCGGAGGAAATGGTGCCAAGACTAACACGACTAACAAACGGGAGCAAGAGGATTGCAAACATGCTGAAGGTGAGCGATTACGCGAGGAGTAGGCTCACCACTGCCCGGTGTCTTTTGCTCCCAGGCAACGCCATGGCCGGGCAGCCCTGCAGACAGAAGGAGTGCCCTCCGCAAGACCCCGACGATTACATCCACCTGATCGACCCGAGGAGGGGAAAGCCGTAGCGAAAAACCCGTCAACAGAAAGCGGCCCTGCATGGTCCGAGAGATCTGGCATCCAAAGTGGACTTTAGTTCTACATCTGTTTATACTCCGCTTCGCCCTATTTCGGACAGAAGCAGACTGTGCTAGCCGATGGAGCGAATCAGTGCTAAAGGTGCAGCGTCATGGTGGTCGTCGTCTTTGTGCGTGTGCAGCGTCGGCTAAATCAGTCAAGCACTAGAAAGGAGCCGAGATATTGCGCTTTCAGTACGTGCATCTGCATTTGTATGTTTCGTGTTATATACTCCGTTTTACTGTATTTCCGGCCGTAGCCGACACAAGGGTCCAATGGAGCCAATCAAGCACTACAAAAAGTGCATCGTCACGGCGCTCATCGTCTCTGTGCGTTTGCTATCCGCGGCTGTACCAATCAGGAACAGTAAAAGCCCCATGATCCTGCGGTTTCTTCTGTGTACGTGATTGGTTTTAACCGGCGATTTTCAAACGCACAAAGACGAGGGCGGTGACGATGCACTTTTTGTACTGCTTGATTGGCTCCATTGGACCGTTGCGTCGGCTGCGGTCGGGCTTCATGTGAAAGGGATTAAATTTCACTGCGCTCCGACTTATTTTTGTAAACTTGGATTGGGTAATAAAAGTAATTGGGAAGCACTTGGCTTATGGCTTACTTTTCGGACGATTGATGCCAAGGACGCCCGAATAGTGAAGAAATAATCGAAGAGGCCGTACCACGTTTTAGAGCGCAGCTCTGAGGCGCCCGTTTCCGGCTTGAGCGGCGTCGCCGTCGCCGTCGGCGTAACCGTAAGGTCACGTGGTTCCGTGAGGTCACGTGACCCCGGTGACGTCACGTGACCCCGGTGCGGGTGACCCCCGTGAGGTCACGAGGGCCACGCGACGTCAGGAGGGTCAGTGACCTCACGGTTACGACGACGGCGACGCCGACGCCGCTTGGATGGAGGAGTAGCAGGCAGGATGAGGAGGTGAGGAGGAGGGAAGAGGGGTATACCCTCCTCTCGGTAGCCTCCCTCCTCCTCCTCAAAAGCTGCGCTCTAATTTGGCGTTACAGGGAGTTAAAAACGGCTTTCATTTTTTTTTCTTTTTTAGCATTTTGAAACGACTGTGCTGCTTCACATAAACGGCTCTCTCAACATTGTTCTAGGGTTGAAGAATATACTGTCAAGCAATTCAATGCAGACAAAATGAACGACACGAATGTCACTTGTTAAGGAAACCCAAACATTCAGTTTGAACGAAGTGGGTCATTTTCCCTAAGATTAAACATTTAGGTTCATGAAATGTTAATTTGGCGACATTTACATTAGTGTACTAGCTTATGTTGATTAATAGGTAATTCATTCGTTTTTTTTTTCTGATAGAAAACAAAGACCGAGCTCACAGATGTTTATATATATCGTTGACAACAAATATTGTAGAACGGACTCAAGATAACACGAGCAATAGCTATTTCACGGCTTTTCATTTTGTGATTACCAGAATCCATTTGATTTTCATTTTGCAATAATAATATTTGTAATAACATACATAAAACGTAGTGACTAAAATTTTGTGTCTAGATTATAAAATATTCTTGCGAGGGCTGCGAGGCTCCGCACATTGTGTCCACCTCAAAACTAAGTTGACTTCTTTCGTTCGCATGCACCGTTTTTTATAATTTTCAAGCGTGCGCAAAAAAAAAAAAAAAAAAACAGTGTCAGTCGTAGCCATCTTGCAACGTTGGAGTCAACGACACGTTGCGACACGACCGATCAGCTCGTGATTAGAGTGACCCGTGACATGACTTACCCGCGAAACGTCTGCTCGTGACATGGCTGACTCGTGACACGACTGACAAGTGGCACGATTGCTCCGTCATACGACTTACAGTTCACTCACATTCAAAATCTTCAAGAACATTCGCTCGCCCTACACATTTATTTCAATCGAGGTATGTCTTTGTTTACATCTCTCTTTTTTAATTGAGGTATTGAAAAGATAGGACACGAGGTATTCGTTTAGCACTGACACATCGGAAGTACGGACATTTTGGTATCATTTAGAATTAAGTTTATGAACTTTTAGGCTTTTACCCTGAGTGAAGGGTGGGACAAAGAATTCTGATAAATCAGCATGAGTATATCATTGAACATCAATGGGAGATTTAATTTTTGTTTTGTTTATGTGACTCACCCTTGCTGCGATTTACTTGCGACATAACTGATGGTTACCGGACCGTTATACGACTGTCATACGAATGACCGTTATGCGACTGATCGTTACACAATTGACAAATCGGGCAAATTAATTTTTTCATTATTTTCAATATTTCAACCACACAAGAACGTTTGTCGATTTTGTCACTGCAAGTTCATTCTCATCGTGATGTTATAAAAATAGCACATAAAAGATAAGTTACACCACTGACACATCAAAAAGGTACGCATTTATTTATATTTATCCATAGGCTAATGAAATTTTAAGTTTTGGCCCAGGGTGAATGGCTATGGTAAGACTTTCTTGAAAACCCGTTAGACAGTCTGCATGCTTACAAATTAAATATGGTTAGCAGAAGTTTTTAGTAAATGTTTAAATATTTCGTTATACCACTGACACAGGGCGATCACACTTGTTTCTTCTTTTTTTAAATTCGTAAAAATATAAAACGTTTAGCAACAGTGGACGCAAAGATCATATAAATTGGAGCTGACGTAGGTGCACGATTTTTTAAATCAAACTCATAAATGTTCACTTCACTCAAACAAAAGTTCACGCCTTTGAAACTTGCATGGTACTTAGCAGATACAAATCAATCCCTAAAATTAGAGATAGAACGCAATCTCAACTCAATTTTTTTTCTAAAATTGTCTTAATTAAGAGAACTTTCAAATATTTGTTTTAGGACACCCTGATTTTATGCAACAAAAACTATATTTTAGAAAGGATGGGAGAAAGGAGAAAGGACAGATTGGCAGGCTGCTCTTATATGTTTTTCTTTTGCGATTTCTTGCTTCCAGTTTCTGCACTTTTATGTACTTTTTTTGTCTCAATATAGCTGAGGTGCGTAAAAACATGGTATTGTCAAGATTGACTCACTACACATTTATTTTGATTTCGATATTGCGTAATAAAAACAATTTGTATAATTGTTTTAATTAAAACACCATTGTTTAATAAAAAGAGCAAGGAACTAATTGATGGATGAAGGGATGGTAGTGGCGGCAGCTTGCGCCACCTCGACAACTTAAACATTTAATTTCACCTCACACTTCACCGTCGATTCTGTGATAAATTGTACACTTTACTCCACCTCCTCCACCAATGATTGAGTCTCCTCTTTGTGACTGTAACCTTTTTGGCAACCATTTTTGCATCATCTCAGTCTTCCCGCTAAATCTGTTCCCCTTTTTAGGAGGTCCGCACCAAACCCTGTGAATTGCCAAACTATGCGTTCAATTGTTTCATTCTCACCTGAGCGTACTGAACACATTGCATCAATTTTTTTGACGCCGGCAGCGGCATCGCGAGCGCGTAACTTGTTGTGGCTTGCGCCGTTGCGCATGTGGTTGAAGGCACCCGACGGGGACTTCGATGTTCACCAATGCCGTCCTCAAGCCGCTCCTCATACTTTTAGCAGGAAGTAGTTCGTCGTCTTTTGTATCTAACAACGCTGCTGCCATAATCGCAGATGCTTTCGCGGAGGAATGTGCGTGACGTGAGTGATCGTCGGAACCAGAGGCAATCAAATTTATTGACTGCCTCTCAACACTCAAAAGGCCTCAAGCCTTCATCTCCCTGATCTCAGACGTCATTAAATGTGTCCCCATGCTTTGCGCATGCTAATCTAATCTTAAAGTTGAATGAACAGCTGATCTCATACACAATACCGCGTTGCTGAGTGAAAGTCCCGGCTCCATGCCTTCTTTTCACATACCTCTAACGACCTCTCTAATATGATACATTGTGCTTCATAATAGATTAATTCCTTTTCTTTCTCCACTGTAATTCGTTTGTCATCTTCTATGTAATCCTTTCCGTCAGTCACCCGTATCACCAAGGCTTGTGCTTCTCCACAAGATGTATTACAATTTGTTTTCAGGGTTTTTTCTCTTCATTACTGAAATCAATTGCTCCAAATGTGTCTCTAGTTTCAAACCCAGAAAGTGTCAACCTTCAACTTCATTTGTTCCTGCGATTCGTCCGGCTCTCTGCTAAACTTACTATGGCATCTGCAAGCACAAGCCCTGGGCCGGTTTGCTGGTAAACGTGGATATCTCTCCCGACGGTTGAAAGAACCGCAAGAGGAATTTCGATGTCTTGTGACGCCTCTGTGGTGACAAGAAACTAAAGGTACCTAGCGTTTGAGGCAAACAGCTGTCGTAAGTTCGTTCTCGCATTGATATTTTACGTCCGATTTTCAAGCAAAAAAATGATAAACGAACTTGAAATGGAAGTGAAATCCGTGCAGTTTAGAAGTGGCATTAAAACTAATTTTTGGGTTAGGTCGTGTTCGGCGAAAATTGAAATGACAAGTGAGGCAGAGAGGAATTGGCTGGAATGCCATGTACTTGCTTCTCACACAGCCGGTCAAGCCCTAATAAAAAATACACCAGGGAATCTTGGTGTGACACCAGAAGTTCTGGTGCGTCCACTCCACCAGACAGGCTAAAGTGCACAGCACGCAAGCCTGGTGTGTCCACCAAAGGGTCCGGTGGCCACAACAGGTAGCATTGCGGGCACACCAGCTTAGCGTGATGTACTTACTTGGTGGCCTGGTGGGCACACCAGTTGGCTTGAGGTGCCCCCCAAACTGGGTGTTAAAAAACACTCTAGGCAGTTCATCATACACTCCTGCCTGGTGTGATTGGCCCACCAGATAACTTGCCGGCTCACCAGAACGGCCTGACGGGAAGTCCGGAAAGGCAAATAACAATAATAATAAGATTTGGCCTCAAATCCCTCTCGCGGCTTTGTAACCGCCCTAGCCGAATTGGTTTACGTCTACTCCCATATCTATCACCATTCAGTCACGAATTAAAAAGAAAACCCTAGAGTGTTTCCCCAATTAAATTAACATTAAATATTCAGATTCCAAAAAAATAAGTTCTAATATTTTTTTTTATAAGAACACATTTTTTATTGTGTCCCCATTTGTGCACATTGTGTCTTGTGTAACCCAAAAACTGAAAACGCATGAAAACTTGTTGGTTTGAAGATTCCTTCAAAACCCATTAAAAGAAACATAACGAGATCACTATTGTATGAT